TTGCCTTCTCCTCTCTAGCTATGGAAGTCTGAGTTGCTACCTTCTTCCATTATAAGGCTGCCTTGTCTACACTGAAGATCTGTTGTTTTGTGTAGCTACCTTCATAAATTATCTGAGTGAGATCTTCTGGATAACTTGCTGTTCATTTTGCGCTTTTATGTTACGGAGACGGCTTTTTTCCTTGCACCTCCTGAACCATCCTCTGCTGGCTTCAGACTTTTCTGCAGCTTCCTCACCTCTCTCAGCCTTCATAGAATTGAAGAGAGTCAGGGTCTTTAGGCTTTGGCTTAAGGGAACGTTGTGGCTGGTTTGGCCTTCTATCCAGACCACTAAAACTTTCTCCATTTCAGCAGTAAGTATGTTTTGCTTTCTTATCATTCATGTGTTATTCACTAGAGTAGCACTGTTAACTTCTTTCAGGAACTTTTTCTTTGCATTCACAACCGGGCTAACTTGTTTGGTGCAAGAGACCTAGCTTTCAATCTATCTCGGCTTTCAACATTCCTTCCTCACCTAAGCTTAATCGTTTCTAACTTTTGATCTAAAGTCAGAGACATGTGACTCTTTCACATGAACACTTAGAGGCCATGGTAGGGTTATTAATTGGCCTCATTTCAATATTGCTGTGTCTCAGGGAAAAGGGAAGGGAGGCCCGCGGAGAGGGACTCAGGGAACTGCTGGTGGGTGGAGCTGTCAGAACACACACATTTATTGATTATGTTTACCGTCTTGGGTGGGTACAGTTCGTGGTGTCTGAAAACAATGACAATAGAAACATCAAAGATTACTGACCATAGATCACCATAACAAATGTAATAATAATGAAAACGTTTGAAATATTGCAAGACGTGACACAGAGACACGAAGCGAGCAAATGCTGTTGGAAGAATGACGCCAATAGTCTTGCTCAATTCAGGGTTGCCACAAACCTTCAATTTGTAAAAAGCAAGCTCTGAGAAGTGCAAGAACGTGAGGCACAATAAAATGAAGCATGCCTGTATTTCAAAAGACTATAGAAAACATCTGGTACCATTTTCCGCCCAAGGCTGTGTCACCCTCCATAGTGTTCACTGTGATCGTCCATCTTTTCCTGGGCTGTTTCAGTGGGATGTTCCCCAGTCACTCCAACTAAAAATTCAACCTCTCATGCACCCTTTTAAATCCCATGGCTCTGCTTTATTTTCTCTCTAGCATCTATCACCATTCACCAAGCCTTACATTTTGCTTATCTATCTTGTTGATTTTTTGTCTTCCCCACTAGGATGATCTCTGTGAAAGGAAGCATTTTTGTTCATTTTGTTCCTTTCTATATCCCCAGGGCCTAGAGTAGCATCTGGCACGTAGTAGGTGCACAATAAAAATGTGTTAAAGAACTGAATGCAGGCGTGAGTAAAGGAATTCTAGAGAAGTAGGCATCTAGCTGCTGTGGACAGGGAGCTCGTTCCTTCATCAGGCCAATTTTGCCCTTTTAAGTCACTGAGTGGGTCATTAGAAGAGGTAGTCACAGGTCTCCGAAGTCCTCACTCAGAGCCCTGTGGGTCTGTTTGGTAATTTTAGACTCTTGGGAGTAAATTGGGATGGTTGTTTAGCTGGGGGTCAGGAATAAGAGTCGGGATGCTCCAGGGCTGCCACTGACCTGCGGGGTCATCCTGAGACCTTTGTTCCATGTCTCCCTGGGCCCCTGGCTCCATGACCTCCTTCTCTTTCACTTGTTAGGAAAGCAGTTGCTTTCTCTCCTGGCCACTATCTCTTCTGTCTGGGACATGAGAATTAAAGCCAAAAAGTCTCAGCATCACTTTGAACTCTATGAAGGAGGGTGCCAACTAAGCCAAGGACTTTATTAGTAAAAAAGACAATTCCTTTGAAAATGGAAATTGCCACATCACACAATCTCCCCACCACGGGGTGGAATTAATGAGGAATTTGCTCAAGATTCACAACGTCAAAATGATCTTCCAGGTGGCCAAAGGACATTTACACTTCAATCAGAAATTCCTTTGTAGAATGTAAGAGGGGAGGGTTTAATTTTCTGAGATCACAAATGGCCATTCCCTTCCAGAGAAGAAGAGAGCCTGTGATAAAGACCGCCCGGTATCTGCAAACTCTCCAGCTAATTAGAAAAGTGAATCTAATTTCACGGATTTCAGCTCCTATTAATTTATTCTGAGCTAGTTGGTAATGAAGCTGTGTGTTTGTTTCTTAAGAAGAAAACATCAGAGAGGAAAAGAATGGGTGCGAGGCTGCGCTATTTATTCCCCTACCGTCATTCTGTTAATTGAGGAAATAACGTATGATTGAATGTATATTACAATGTCACCAAGGCAGCACTTTCTTTAGCTACTAAAAAAGCCCTGTGTGATTAGCCCATAACAGGGAGCCTATTTTAACATGACTAAAACACAAACCTACTGGGGCAACTGAACCATAGGGCATGGGAGCACCTTTGGTGTTAATCAATATGGTTGTAACTGTTTCCAGACCCACAGTCCGATCATGGACACCCATCCCCTTTTCAGCACCCATATTTTCCTGGAATGAATGGCAGGTTTTCCTTGGGAGTTAAAGTTCCACTTATGGCTGATACTGAGGAACTCTAACATTTATCTCTCTTGAAACAATGGCTAATGTTGGCTGGGGCTTTTGTCTTGTTTTGTTTTTAATTTATATTTTAGTTAGTTAATATGCAATATTGGCTTCAGAAGTAGAATTCAGTGATTAATCACTTGCATACAATACCCAGGGCTCATCACAAGTGTCCTTTTTAATACCCATCTAGCCCATGTCCCACTCACCTCCCTCCACAATCCTCAGTTTGTTCTCTATCAGTAAGAGTCTCTTGCGGTTTTTTTCCCTTTCTTCCCTTTCCCCCCGCTCCTCTGCTTCCCATACATTTATCTGTTTTGTTTCTTAAATTCCACGTATGAGTGAAATCATATATTCATCTTTCTCTGGTTGACTTAATTTTGCTTAACATAATACATTCTAGCTCCATCCAGATCATTGCAAATGGCAAGATTTCATTTTTTGATAGATAGGTAATATTCCTGTGTGTGTGTGTGTGTGTGTGTGTGTGTGTGTGTGTGTGTACACCACATTTTCTTTATCCATTCATCAGTCAATGGACATTTGGGCTCCCTCCATAGTTTGGTATTATTGATAATGCTGCTATAAACATTGGGGTACATGTACCCCTTCAAAACTGTATTTTTGTATCCTTTGGGTAAATACTTAATAATGCAATCGCTGAATCATAGGGTTCTATTTTTAGTTCCAGAGTGGCTGCACCAGTTTGTATTCCCACCAACACTGCAAGAGGGTTCCCTTTTCTTTGTATCCTTGCCAACACCTGTTGTTTCTTGTGTTGTTAATTTTAGTCATTCTGACAGGTGGGAGGTGATATCTCAATGTGGTTTTGATTTGTATTTCCCCGATGAAGAGTGATGTTGAGCATCTTTTCATGTATCTGTTAGTCATCTGGATGTCTTCTTTGGAAAAGTGTCATGTCTTCTGTCCATTTTTTAATTGGGTTGTTTGTTTTTTGGGTGTTGAGTTTGATACCTTCTTTATAGATTTTGGATGATAACCCTTTAGCTGATATGTTGTTTGTAAATATCTTCTCCCATTTTGTAGGTTGCCTTTCAGTTTTGTTGATTGTTTCCTTTGCTGTGCAGAAGTTTTTATCTTGATGAAGTCCTAATAGTTCATGTTTGCTTTCATATCTATCTAATAAGGAGTTGCTCAGCCAACGTCAGAGAGGATGCTGCCTGTGTTCTCCCCTAGGATTTTGATGTTTTCCTGCCTCACATTGAGGTCTTTCATCCGTTTTGAATTTATTTTTGGTGTAAGAAAGTGGTCCAGGTTCATTCTTCTGTGTGTCGCCATTCAGTTTTCCCAGCACCATTTTTTTTTGAAGAGACTGTCTTCTCTCCACTGGATATTCTTTCCTGCTTTGTTGAAGATGATGAGTTGACCATATAGTTAGATGTCAATTTATGGGTTTTTCTATTCTGTTCCATTGATCTATGTGTTTGTTTTTTTGCAAGGACCATACTGTCTTGATGACTATAGCTTTGTAATATAGCTTGAACTCCAGAATTGTGATGCCTCTAGTTTTGTTTTTATTTTTCAGGATTGCTTTGGCTATTTGGGGTCTTTTGTGGTTCCATACAAATCTCAGGGTTGTTTGATCTAGCTCTGTGAAGAATGCTGGTGGTATTTTGATAAGGACTGCATTAAATGTGTAGATTGCTTTGGGTAGTATAGACATTTTGCCAACGTTTATTCTTCCAATCCATTAGCATGGAGTACTTTTCCATTTCTTTGTATCCTCTTCAATACTTGCCTCACTGCCTACTCTTGCCAGGACCTGGATTGTGTCTGGTATTGAACTTTCCTCATGTTGGAGGCCAATGCCTCCATTTTGCTTCAGTTAGTGCCAAGTTTATCTAGATATTGTTGATACTAGCTTGCTTCAGAATTCTGCATTTATTTGAACATGTACTTATCTTTACAAATCTCTACTATTTAACTCTGATCAGTTAATACTCTGAGTAATACCTAAGCACCTAAAAGAGCTTTGTTCTGGGATGTCTACAGAGGTTTATGAAGGAAGGCTCAGGCTAGTCTCCAGTGCCTGAAGTTTCCTATCAGGCTGGCTAACAAGATAAACATGTGGGAATATATATATATATATATATATATATATATATATATATATATATATATATAATATGTGACTTCTTTTTAAAGCCTGCTTCACAATCCCAAATGCAAAATTTTTATAATAATTCTTTAACATTGTCTTCCATAGCTTCTAAAATCCCTATCTGTCTTGTTTAAAGTCCAGCTTGCCTGGAACATGGGAGATGCCCAGTGAATACTTGTCAAATGTTATAGGAGAAAGTTATGAAGTAGATATTAGAACAGGTAAGAATCTGTAGCAGACTGTGTTGGCCACTTCCTCATCGTTTATTTAGTCCCTCTTTCTTCTCTCTCAGCTGTGGCGGACACCTCTCAGCTGTCTCACCTACCTCCCATTCCAACTGCTAGAAACAACATTTCCCAGAATGCCTTGCAGCCGGGTTCTGCAGGTGATTTAGATCCTTCTAGGTAAGACCTGGATATGCAGATGAGCAGGGGGCGGTGCAGGGGCTGCTCTGCAAAGACTAACTGGATCTCCTGATGCAGCACATTGTATTTTCTGAAAGTGGCCACAGTCAGTCAGTTCTCATGTGTTCTTCCAGAACTTGCCACTGCCCCACTAACAGATTCTGTTTCCCCTCTCTTTGAAGATGGGTGACTTTGTGACTGCGAGGGACAGAATATGGGAAAAGTGACATTGCATGGCTGAGGCTGGGTCTTGAAAGGAGATATGACTTTCATCTGGTTTCTCTCTCTTTCTCTGTCTCTGACTCTCTCTCTTAGTGCTTGTCCTTGGAACACAGACTTCATGGTATGAGGAAACCTTGGCCACATGGAGAGGCCACAAGGGAACATGAGGGGAAGTCTGTAGGGGGATTTTTAGGAAAGGTTTCCTCATGTCTAATAAATAGCCCTAGGAAGAGATGGTCTCTCTTCTTCATCCAGCTATGATGCATGGAAGCTTTTTTGGCCATCTTGCTACTGACCAACACACAGAGAGGGGCAGTTCCCAGAAAACACAGAAAAGATGGAGTGCTGAAGTACTTGCCTGGTGTCCTGTCTTCCCATCTCTGGACTTCCTTATATATGAGGTAATAAACTCCCTTACATATTAAAGTTACTCTGAGTTGAGGTTTTCCGTTTACTTATAGCTGAAAATATCCCAACTGATTTGGGATTTGTTCCTTGGTGGTTGTGGTCAATTCCTGCCCTATCTGTGAATTCTGGGGCCCAGGGCTCTCCCAGAGGAGTCATCAAGCTATAGAAACCCAGTAGGTCAGGTGCAGGCAGAGGTGTGCCCTGAAAATCAAATCTGAAACTTTTGGGGTTTGGATCCATTTTCTAGAAGTCTTCGTAATTTCAGCAGGAACTGTTTTGTCCTTTCTCCTGAGATTACATGTGTGAGCTGTACTTTAGAGATCATTCCCTGGCACTGAGAAGCAGAGAAGAAGGCAGGGAAGGGGATGACAGAACAAAGAAAACTTGCTAAAAACAAAATGAGACTAAAACCTTACATTTCCCAGCCTAGTTCTGGCCAATAAGACATAAACTAAAGGTTTCTAAGAAATATTTGCTTTCCTTTCTTCCTGCCTGGATCATGATCACGAGACCTTCAGCAACCATCTTGTGATCATGAGGAAAAGGCCGAGAGAAGCAGAGACCGCAGACCCGACATCTTTGAATCACTATTATGACACCACTACCTATCTGTCTGGTTGTGTGGGGGAAAATAATCATAAACTCACATGTTTAAGTTGTAGTTCTGGTATTCTTGACTGGATGCAAGTTCTAACTGGTAGAGACCATTTGCCTGCAGCCGGGGCTTGGGGAAGGTAGCTGAGGACATGGGTGTTTGGTACCTTCTTTCTGTCCTCTCTCTCTCCTTTTCCCCCTTTATCTCTCCTCTCCTCCATTTCTTCACTCCCTGTTGGGCCTATGCTATGCACCAAACTCTGGGCCATGCACTGGGAGAGGGGAGTTTGACTTTGGGCAGTCCTGGAGAGAACCTGCACCTGCTCTGTGGGGTGATCTTATCCCCAGAGAGAAGACTGGGTCTCAGAGGTGCTTTCTAAAGCTCCCATCTCTGTATGTGGATTCTTTCTTCTTAGGGAGACACGAGGTAGAGAGGAAGAGGATAAGTCTCTGAAGCAGACAGACTCGGGTTTGAATCCCAGCTCTGCCACCTGTTAGCTGTGAGATCTCAAGTAAATCACTGAGCACAAGTAGGAGCTCTTCTGTGCAATGAGTTGTTGCGGGGATTAAATGATACAGCAGTAGCTCACTTGTAGTGGGTGCTTAGTCTGAGCCTGGTGAGGCTCAAATAAGGGTTACATTAATAAGAAAGAAGGAGGAGGGGATAGATATTGAGTAGACTTCTGGCAGTCTCTGCCAAGAATGAGAAAATAAGAGCTAATTCTTGATTCCCTGTTGAAACAGAGCAGTCCACTCAGATCTGGGGATAGCTTGCACACTCTCTTGGGCTCAGCTTTGCTCTGGCAGTGAGAAGCTTCCCTGTCTTTGCCCCTCCCCAGCCATGACCTGGGGGGTGTGCTGTCCTCACTCAGCGAGTGTGTTCAGGGCCCTGCTATTCCAGCAAGATGGTTGGAGAGTGTCCATGTGTCTGTGGACAGCTGGACCACAGCCTCCTCGTCCCGGCTGGACACCTGTTAGAAGCTATAGTTAGAACAGTAAATCCTGGGGGCAAGGAAAAGAGAGAAGCCAAGGGAGAAAAGAAAAAAAGGAAAGATGCAGTCCAGGAAAAATGGGATGTTCCTCCTGTGCAGCAAAACCACAGCGTTCTCTCGGCCGGTCCTTAAGAAGAAGAAGTGGAGTGTGGGTGCTCATGGGGGCCAGCCTGGAATTGCAGCTGGCATGGTTTGGGGAGCTGTAAATTCTGCATGTGCTGGCACAAAGGCCTGTCCTGAGAAGCCCTGAAAAAGCCTTTCTATAATCGGGGCTCCTCAGCTTTCCACTGTGGCATCCACAGGCAGGATACATGGCTTTGTGCTCTCCCTTGCTCTCAAGTTGCCACTGAGGAGAAAAACTCAAGAAATAAAACAAGTTGGATTCATTATGGTGCTAGCAATATAAACAATTCACTTATTAGTTACTTCAGAAGAATGTGAACATGCCTAATAGATTTTTCTACTATGAAGAATTTGCTAAAAACTTAAAAATAACTCAATAATATTACTTATTAACATAGCTGATATTCACAAGCAGCCCATCCCACATGACATGTCCCTCCATGAGCAACAGGGATGCGAATGATTCCTATTAGAAAACCAGACTTACATGGTCTTGGAGCCTATTATAGGAAAGTCATAGGTTAAAAATTATTGATGCAAATCTGGATCACTATAGACTGTGAAATCAACCTAACAACCCACAAAAAGCCAAGTGGATAATGTTAAAGCTATACTGAAAGAGAATTTTACAATGAAAATAGCAAGGCCATCGGTAGGAAAAAAAACCACAGCCAGTTCAGGGTAACACTGATGAAGTACTAACCATGCGTCCTTCTGAAAATTAAGAAATTCTAACCCTGTGCATGCATTCTAACCAAGTGTGCATGCAGAGTAGGAGTTTGAAAACATTGCTAAGTGTGGCGTGGCAGCCAGACTTCTTAGCAAAGGACACAGTCAGAGTCCTGGGTCATTTTAGTTTATAAATAGCACATTTTACTAACCTTTCCTGTTCACTTTGTTGTTCCAAAATACGAGAGTCTATAGAAAGAAGCATGAGTCACTTGACTGTAAGAATTGAAGAAAGATCTTGCATTTTTGGGTCACCCTGACCCACTGGGGAGCCCCGGGGGCCTGGCAGGGAGCCTCAGGTCACTTGTGCAATCTCTGCTTGACAAGCAAGTCCCACCTACTGGAGGTCATTTCTCCAGCAAGTGTCCTGTGTAGTGCAGTCACACCAACATTTTTTTTCTCCACTGGATTATGGAATTCCATTAGCACACAAATAGGACACAAGGACTCCTACCTTAGAACATACCTCCTTGACTTACAGCCTCTGCAGCTGCTACGCAATTCCCTCTTTGCTGCTGCAATGAACCTCCTCAAAAGAGTTGTTGATATCAGTTTCCCTGGTTCTTCTGCCATCTCTCTTGAACTATTCCAAGAGGCTTTTGTCCTCATCATCCCAAGTGAGACAGCCTTCCACAAGGCTGCCAATGACTTCCCTAATGGATGACCCTATCATTCTTGTTAGTGTTATCAGTAGGGGAACCAATCCCCTAAATGCCTGGGACTTTCTTAGATTTTAAAACGGAAACTCCTGCCTTCCAGGAATAGCCTCAGTCCTGGGCAAATCCAGATGGCAGGTTATCCTAAACTGAAGACCTCCATGTTAACAATATGACTACCCTATACACTCTTAGTCCTTTTCTTAGTTGACCTCACAGCAACCTTTAACAAACCTCGGCTTCATTGAGATATAATTTGCATACAATAAATGGCACATATTTCAAGTGTGTAAATTAACAAGTTTTGACATATGTATACATTCACAAAACCATCACAGCACTCAAGATGATGAGCGTATCCATCACCAAAAGTTTCTTCGTGCCCATTTGCAATCCTCTCCTGCCTCTCACCCCTGCCTTCTACCCCCAGTCTACGAATGTATCAGTTGTTTATTGCTATGCAACAACTCACCAGATTAAAACAGCAAACATTTATCATCTCTCACTTTCTGCAGGTCAGGAATCTGGACACAACTTATCTGAGTGCCTCTGCCAAAATATCTCCCCCAAGGTTGTAACCAAGGTGTTGTCCAGAGCTGTGGTCTCATCTTACAGCTGGACCAGGGGAAGATCTGCAACCAAGCTCATGTACATGGTTGTTGGCAGGATTCAGTTCCTCATAAGCTGTTGAACTGAGGACTACAGATTCTCATTAGTTGGGTAGAGGCTTCACCGAGCTCCTTGCCATATGTCTTCTTCTTAGGGCAGTTCAACATGGCAGCTGACTTAATGAGAGAGAGATTGTGCATGGCAGAGAAAGTAAGCAAGATGGAAGTCACCGTCTCTTTATAGCCTAGTCTCAGAAGTGAAATCTCATCATTTTTTGCCATATTCTGTTCATTTATAGTAAAGTCACTAAGTCCAGTCTACTCTCAAGGGGATCGAATTACACAAGACTGTGAATACTAGGATGTGATAATCACAGGGAGCCATTTTAGAGGTTGTGTATCATGCTAGGCAATCATTAATCTGCTTTCTGTCACTATAGGTTAGTTTGCATTTTCTAGAGTTTTATAAAAATAAGAAATCTTTCACTCAGCATAATTATGTTGAGATTCATTTATATTGCATCTATCAACAGTTCTTTTTATTTTTTATTGCCGAGTGGTATTCCATTGTGTGGATATACCAAAATTTGTGTATTCATTCACCTGTTGATGGACGTTTGAGTAATTTACAGTTTGGGCTATTACAAATAAATTTGTTATGAACATTCATCTATAAGTCTTTGTATGGAGATATACTTTCATTCTCTCAAGTAAATATTCAGAATGGAAAAGGCTGGAACACTTGGCAGCTACATATGTACCTTAAAAAAAAATACACGACCACCTCTTTTCCCAAGAGGTGGCATCATTGCTATGGGCAGTCATTTTATTTTAGCAGTTTATTTTCTTTTATTTATTTATTTTTATTTAAGATGATTTAAGAACAACATCTCCTTTCTTCACAATATGACTACTCTATATACTCTTTTATTTTTTATTTTTTATTTTCTATTTTTCTGACAATTTTTTTATATAATTTTTTTAATGAATATAATTTATTGTCAAATCAGCTTACATACAACACCCAGTGCTCAACACCTGAAAAACATATAATCCAGTGAAGAAATGGGCAGAAGACATGAACAGACACTTTTCCAAAGAAGACATCCAGATGGCCAACAGACACATGAAAAGATGCTCAACATCACTCTTCATCAGAGAAATACAAATCAAAGCCACATTGAGATACCACCTCACACCAGTCAGAGTGGCTAAAATGAACAAATCAGTGAACTACAGATTTTGGCAAGGATGTGGAGAAACGGGAACCCTCTTGCACTGTTGGTGGGAATGCAAACTAGTGCAGCTGCTCTGGAAAACAGTATGGAGGTTTCTCAAAAAATTAAAAATAGAGCTACCCTATGACCCAGCAATAGCACTAGTAGGAATTTATCCAAGGTATTTTAGCAATTTAAATAGCTGTGTAGTGATATCTCACTGTGGTTCTAATTTGCATTTACCTAAAGATTAATGATATTGAAAGTCTTCATGTGCTTCTTTGTTATCCATATGTGTTCTTTGGTGAAGTATCTTTTCAAGTCTTTTGTCCAGTTTTGGTAGGTTGCTCGTTTTCTTATTATTTAGTTTTGAGACTTCTTTGTGTATTTAGGACACATGTCCTTAGCAGGTATATGATTTGAAGGTATTTTCTTTTAGTCTATGGTTTGCCTTTTATTCTTTTAACAGTGTCTTCAAAGAGCAGAAATTTTAGATTCTGATGAAATCCAATTTATCAATTTTTCTTTTACAGAAAAGAAAAAAATGTGTAGCTTTGGTGTCATACCTCAGAAATCTTTGCCTAATCTAATGTCACTAAAAGTAGTTTTAGTGTTTTCTTCTTATGTTTTCTTCTAAAAGTAGTTTTAGTATTTATATTTAGATCCATGATTCATCTTGATTTAATTATGTAAATGAATTGAAGTCCATGTTCTTGCATATAAAGAGCAAATTGATCCTGTATCACATATTGAAAAGAATATCTTTCCTCCATTGAATTGCCTTTGCACCAAATGCTGAAAATCAATTGTCCATATGTGTCTAGATCTATTTCTAGATTCTATCTTTTTGTTTCATTGATTTACATGTCTGTCTTTACTGCAGTACTTCTGTGGCTTTATAGTAAGTCTTAAAACCAGGCAGTACTAGTCCTCCCACTTTTTTTTCTTTTACAACTTTATTTGGCTCTTCTAGATCTGTTGTATTTCAATATGAATTTTAGAACTAGCTTGTCAATTTATTTAATAAAAAGGCTTTTGGTACTTGGATTTGGATTGCATCAAATCTATACAACAATTTGGGAAAAATTAATGCCTTATTGAGTCATCCAATCCATAAGCACATTATATCGCTCCATTTTTTTAGGTCTTCTTTAAATTTTCTCAGCAATGTTTTGTAGTTTTCAGTGTTCAGGTCTTGTACATCGTTTGTCAGATTTTTCCCTAAGTATTTCACATTTGTTTATGCTACTGTAAATGTTATTTTCAACTTCTTTTTTTCAAGTTTATTTATTGTGAGAGAGAGACAGGTGCGGTGAGGGGGAGGGTGGTGCAGAGAGAGGAGAGAGAATCACAAACAGGCTCTGCACTGTCAGCACAGAGCTGGTCATGGGGCTCAAACTCACGAACAATGAGATCATGACCTGAGTTGAAGTTGAGTCCGATGTTTAATCAACTGAGCCACCCAGATGCCCTGGTATTTTCGACTTCTAATTGATCATTGCTAGTATATAGAAATACAGTTGATTTTTGTATATTGATTTTGTATCCTGTAACTGTGGAAACATTAATTCTAGTAGTTTTTTTTTTTGGATAAATTCCATTAGATTTTCTACACAGAAGATCCTATCATCTGTGAATGAAGGTTGGATGCCCTTTCTTTCTTCTTTTTTTCTTTCTTTCTCTCTCTCTTTCTCTCTTTCTTCCTTCCTTCCTTCCTTCCTTCCTTCCTTCCTTCCTTCCTTCCTTTCTTTCTTTCTTTCTTTTTCTTCTTTTCCTTAATTGCACTGGCTAGGACCTCCAATGTAATGTTGACTAGAAGTAGTAGGAGCAGGCAGCCTTGCTTTCTTCTTGTTCTTAGATATTAACTGTAGGTTTTCCATACATTTAAATTTTTTAAAAAGTTAATTAATTAATTAATTTAGAGATGGAGGGAGGGAGGGAGGGAGAAAGCGTGTGAGTAGGAGAGGGGTAGAGAGAGAGGGAGAGAAAGAATCCCAAGCAGGCCCCATGTTGTCAGCGTGAAGCCTGATTTAGGACTCGATCCCATGAGTGGTGAGATCATGACATGAGCTTGAAACCAAGAGTCAGACACCTAACCAACTGAGCTACCTGGACACCCCTTCTATACATTATTAAAAATAATGTTGAAGACCTCTCTTAAACTATTTTGCTGAAAAGATTTAAAAAAATTTTAATTCCAGTATAGTTAACATACAGAGTTATATTAGTTTGAGGTGTACAATATAGTGATTCGATAATTGTATACATTACTCAGAAATCACTATAAGTGTACTCTTAATCCCCTTCCCCTATTTCACAGCCCCCCACCACCTTCCCTCTGGTAATCACCAGTCTGTTCTCTACAGTTGAGTCTGTTTTTTTGGTTTCTCTCTTTTTTTCTTTGTTTTGTTTCTTAAATTCTGCATATGAGTGAAATCATATGGTATTTGTCTTTGACTTATTTCACTTAGCGTTATACTCTCCAGGTCCATCTATGTTGTTGCAAAGCAAGATTTCATTCTTTTTTATGTATGAATAATATTTTATTGTATATGTATACCACATATTTTATCCATTTATCAATTGATGGACATGTGGGATGTTTCCATAATTTAGATATTTTAAATAATGCTGCAATAAACATAGAGGGGCACCAGTTTTCACTCCCACCAATAGTGCTAGAGAGTTCATTTTTCTCCACATCCTTGTCAACACTTGTTTCTTACCTTTTTGATTTGAGTCATTCTGACAGGTATGAGATGTCTCATTGTGGTTTTGATTTGCATTTTCCTGATGATGACTGATGATGAGTATCTTTCATGTGTCTGTTTGTTGGTCATCTGTATGTCTTTGGAGAAATGTCTGTTCATGTCTTCTGCTGATTTTTTAATTAAGTTATTTGGTTTTTAGTGTTGAGTTGTATAAATTCTTTATATATTTTGTATACTAACCCTTTATCAGATATATCATTTGCAAACATCTCCTATTCCGTAGGTTGCCTTTTAGTTTTATTTTTTGTTTCTTTTGCTGTACAGAAGTTTTTATTTTGATGTAGTCCCAATATTTTATTTCTGCTTTTGTTTCTCTTGCCTCAGGAGACATAGCTAGAAAAATGTTGCTATGGCCAATGTCAGAGAAGTTATCGCTTGTGCTCTCTTCTAGGATTTTTATGGTTTCAGGTCTCACCTTTATGTCTTTAATCCATTGTGAGTTAATTTTTGTGTATGGTGAAAGAAAGTGGTCCATTTTCATTCTTTCATATGTAGCCATCCAGTTAACCCAATATTATTGGTTGATGAGACTTTCTCATTGTGTATTCTTGCCTCCTTTGTCCAATATGCATTGACTATATAATTGTGGGTTCTCTATTCTGTTCTACTGATTTATGTGTCTATTCTTGTGCCAGTATCATACTGTTTTTTGATTACTAAGCTTTGTAGTTTATCCTGATATCCAGGATTGTGATACCTCTGATTCTGTTTTTCCTTTTCAAGATTGCTTTGGCTATTCAGGGTCTTCTGTGGTTCCATACAAATGGTAGTATTATTTGTTCTAGTTCTGTGAGAAATACTGTTGGTATTTTGATAGAGATTGCATTAAATCTGTGGGTTTCTTTGGATAGTACGGACATTTTAACAATATTTGTTCCTCCTTTTAAAAAAATTTTTAAAAAGTTTATATATTTTTCAGAGAGAGACAGAGCACAAGCAGGGGAGAGGCAGAGAGAGAGGGAGACACAGAATCTGAAGCAGACTCCAGGCTTTGAACTGACAGCACAGAGCCTAATGGTGGGCTTGAACTCATGAGCCGTGAGATCATGACCTGAGACGAAGTTGGATGCTTAACCAACTGAGCCACCCAGGCACCCCTCAATGTTTGTTCTTTGAATCCATGAGCGTGGAGTATCTTTCCATTTGTATGTGTCATCTTCAATTTCTTTCATCAATGTTTCATAGTTTTCAGAG